CTTCCTCCGGCCTTTTGGAATGTTATCGCCCGTGTAGCTTCTTCCGCTCGTGAGACATACGGTTTCCTCCTTTATGTCACATGGTCGGTAGCTTTTTCCTTTGATATTTGACACGATCATATGACTTCTCCAAGCCTCTTTAGTGACTTCTCTCTTCTTTGCTTTGGTTTTGGGTTTCTTTGCTCCGATTCGTCGTTTTTTCTACAAAATTCAAAGCTGTCATCTTATTCTTATTTAACTTAATATAAAAAAATAAACACTAGAAAGTTCAATATAATAAAGCATAAAAATCATGTTAATTATGCATTCATCATTCACCGATAGATAGAAAAGGCAGAATATAACCTTTGGTGTTTTGATTTATACTAAAACGTTAAAGGCCCACATTACAATGTGCCATTGTTTGATTAGCTACTTGTTAGTTTTAACTTACCACGTAGGATGAGCGAGTTAACGGTGTTATAACGGAAGGTCTCAATCAATAAATTTATAAAAATAGAGAGTTTCAATCAAGTTGAAAAATAATAGAATGTCTCAATAAATAAATAAATAAATAAATAAATAAAACAAGCTGTACGGGGACCAATTATGGGATAAACTCTTATCATAAACATGAAAAAATCAAACTATTTAAATAATATTTAATAAATTAAAAAGATACGACATAAATATACAAATTTGAGAATAAATTGTTATTGATATATTAATTTTAGGATTATATATGTAAGTTTTTCTATTTTAATAAATTAGTTAAAGTAATTTTTGAAATATATATGAGTTATTACTCAAGTGTTTGGTTTTTTTTTTTTTGGAAATTAGCTTTTGATTTTGGTAATTATAAATGATCAACATCGCTTCAATTTTTGTCTTTTCATGTTGGTTTGTTAAATTTTTTTGTAAAACTATAAAAGAGGACAATCGAAAGGAAGACAAATGATGTTTACTAAGGAAAAAAAAAACCTTTTGTGTTAAGTAAAAAATTAACATATGAATGCATGTTCATTTAATAATATATTTTGTGTTAAGTAAACCTGTTTTGAAACATTTACGGTTTGTTTGGAAATTAAAGAGATAAATGCAGGAGAAAGGAAGGGAGGGAATATGAATGGAGGTTAATGACATTTTCAATTCTTAATTTTACTTGGAAAGAAAATTTTATGGTGGGAAAGAAAAATAGATGTTAATCTTTAACCTTCATTTTCCTCCAAAATCTCACCCCCAAAGTAGCGAAAAAGAAGAAAATAACTTTATAATGACATGAACTTACTATTTTAATCCTTTCTTTCTTTCTTTTTTTAAATTTAACTTTACCTTTTTAATAAATAAAGTATTTCAATCTTATTTGTCGTTGCATCTCCTTGCCTTCTACTAAAGAGACACTAATGATGTTTAATATTTTATAAAATGTCATTCTCTTTTCCGTCCAATGTACATATACATATACATATATTCTTTTCATTCGTCCCCTTCTTATTTATCCAAATAAGAAAGTGAAAAAATAATTTTATCATCCCTTCCCTTTTCCTTGTATCATAATTTTTTTACAAAGAAACTGTTAATCCTAACCTTTCTTAATCATTTTATTTTTATTTCTTCCATAAAACTTTTTATTTTAACAATTTAAATTCAACAACCATCCATTTCCATCATTTTTCTTCTTACAATCTGATTTGAAACTAAAAGCTGATAATTGCTTCTTCTTTTTTTTTTCTTCCAAAATCCTAATTTCTTCTTTAATTATATACGACATAAAAAAAATTGATACTAGTTTTTTTTTTTTAATGAAAACATTTAATTCCTTACATTTGAAAACATATTAGTATTGAACATAAGCATTCAATATTAGATTAGAATTATAAAAAACACTAAAGAAAATTACTTTTTTACTATTTATAACACTATTCGCACACACAAATCACTATTTATGGCATTTTTATAATACTTTAGTCCTCAATTTTTCTATATATTTTTTTTCAATTTCAAACTTTAATTGTATTGTGATTTGATCCCATCTTGTTTTAGTGTTTTTTGTTAATTATTTTTATTATTTAAGATTCATTACTTTAATTTGTAATTTTTTTAAATTCTTTTTTTTTCAATTTCAATCTTTAATTATATTGTGATTTGGTCCCATTTTGTTTTAGTATTTTTGTTAATTATTTTTATTATTTAAAATTTACTACTTTAATTTGTCATTTTTAAAAAAAAATTCTCATCCAATTAATTTAAAATTATATGGTCCTCAATTTTTCTATATATTTTTTTCAATTTCAAACTTTAATTGTATTGTGATTTGAACCCATTTTGTTTTAGTGTTTTTTATTAAGTATTTTTGTTATTTAAAATTTACTACTTTAATTTGTAATTTTTTTAATTATCATCTAATTAATTTAAAATTATATTTACTGATATTTTTTTCAACAACCATCCATTTCCATCATTTTTCTTCTTACAATCTGATTTGAAACTAAAAGCTGATAATTGCTTCTTCTTTTTTTTTTCTTCCAAAATCCTAATTTCTTCTTTAATTATATACGATATAAAAAAAATTGATACTAGTTTTTTTTTTTTAATGAAAACATTTAATTCCTTACATTTGAAAACATATTAGTATTGAACATAAGCATTCAATATTAGATTAGAATTATAAAAAACACTAAAGAAAATTACTTTTTTACTATTTATAACACTATTCGCACACACAAATCACTATTTATGGCATTTTTATAATACTTTAGTCCTCAATTTTTCTATATATTTTTTTCAATTTCAAACTTTAATTGTATTGTGATTTGATCCCATCTTGTTTTAGTGTTTTTTGTTAATTATTTTTATTATTTAAGATTCATTACTTTAATTTGTAATTTTTTTAAATTCTTTTTTTTTCAATTTCAATCTTTAATTATATTGTGATTTGGTCCCATTTTGTTTTAGTATTTTTGTTAATTATTTTTATTATTTAAAATTTACTACTTTAATTTGTCATTTTTTAAAAAAAATTCTCATCCAATTAATTTAAAATTATATGGTCCTCAATTTTTCTATATATTTTTTTCAATTTCAAACTTTAATTGTATTGTGATTTGAACCCATTTTGTTTTAGTGTTTTTTATTAAGTATTTTTGTTATTTAAAATTTACTACTTTAATTTGTAATTTTTTTAATTATCATCTAATTAATTTAAAATTATATTTACTGATATTTTTTATTTATTTTTCTATATGTATGAATTTTGGAATAAAGTTTTAGAACATGATTATTTTTTCTTTTGAAAAATAGATTTAGATAATTTTTAAATTCCAGTGGCATGATTAATATAAATAATTTTTCTGAAATATATTTTTAGTACTCAATTTTTCTATTTTTTTCAATTTCAAACTTTAATTGTATTATGATTCGGTCCCATTTTGTTTTAATGTTTTTTGCTAATTATTTTTATTATTTAAAATTTGCTACTTTAATTTGTCTTTTTTAAGAAAAAATTCTCATCCAATTAATTTAAAATTATATGGTCCTCAATTTTTCTAAACATTTTTTTTCAGTTTCAAACTTTAATTGTATTGTGATTTGGTCTCATTTTATTTTAGTATTTTTTTTAATTAATTTTATTATTTAAAATTTACTACTTTAATTTTTTTAAAAAAATTCTCATCCAATTAATTTAAAATTATATTTAATGAAAATTTTTTGAATTATTTTTCTATATGTATGGATTTTGGTATAAATTTTTAGAATATAATTATTTTTTTCTTTTGAAAAATATATTTAGATCATTTTTAAATTATAGTGACATGATTAATATATATAATTTGTCTGAAATACATTTTTATATTAAAAGTGTATTTCAAATAATTTTTTCTTAGTGTTTTTTAGGAAAAAAGACTCAAATTAGTTAATTAATAATTAAAAGTCAAACATGAAAAATAAAAAGAAGATGGTTGCTCTACGCATGAGACCTATGTTCAAGGACTAACCATGCATAGCATAGAAATAAAAAATTATTTAAGAAGGAGAAAAAAAAGAATTCACATGTTTTATTAATTTTTTTCTTTATATAATCAAAATTAATCGAAATCAAATTTGTAATAATTTTTATTTTAGTCTATTAAATTTAAATTTAGTCAATAGATTCCTTCCAAGTTAATTTTTTTTTTATGGTATTTTTTGTTTAGACTCAAAACTCTGAACTCAATTAATAAAGTTATGATGTGTGAAAAATTATTGAATTGTTATTTTTTTTAGAAATTAACTCGTACAACTATTACTACACTAGGCATTTACTATTTATTTATTTTTGAATATTTTAAAATTAACTTATTTTAAATTAAATAATTAAAATTATGTTTTGGCTTAACCACTCAATGATTCAAATTAATATCGTTTTTTATTTTAATATTATTCTTTCTTTTGTAAATAAATATATAAAAATGAAATTCACATTTTTTCAAAAATTGATATTCTCATCAACATTAAATAAAAATAAAAATAAATTATTTGTTCGATTCAACATATGCTTTTAATAATTGTTATTTTTTTTTTGACATAATCTTATGAAGTACTAAAACCTTTTAGAAAATTTATTTAATTTTCTTTTTAGTTAATAATCAATGGATTAGTAAGGATAAATCATTTTCTAAACGAAAAATTATAAAAAACAAAAATAAAAAATTTTAAATAATTTTTTTTATTTTTGATTTCATATATTTTTATAGATTCATAATATAAAATAAATTATCAAACTAAAATAATTTTTATATATAATTTTATATGTTTTATTCCCCTGACATGGAAAAAAAACTAATACATAAATCTAAAAGATATTTTATGCGTTTAGGGGCTCAGCCCACAACAAGCAAAATTTATGGGCTCAGCCCATTATTGCATTGAACAAGTTTCGTACTATATATACCGTCAAAGACCGCATCAGTGTAATCCTCGTTATTCGCATCTCTCGTTGGCTCCCGAAAAATTCACCTCTCCTCTTTCTAAAATCAGCGGCGATGGCAACCACCGTAGTACCGGCGGGGCGGAGCGCAAGGAGGGCGGCGGCGGAGGATGAAAAGTTAGTGTTTGAAACGACGGAGGGAATAGAACCTGTAGCAAGTTTCGATGAGATGGGATTAAAAGATGGTGTGTTGAGAGGAATTTATAATTATGGATTTGAAAAGCCATCAGCGATACAACAAAGAGCTTTGATGCCTATAATTAAAGGACGTGATGTTATAGCACAAGCTCAATCTGGTACTGGAAAGACCTCTATGATTGCCCTTACTGTTTGCCAGCTTGTTGATACTGCTAGCAGAGAGTAAGTTTGTCCCTCGTTTTGCCTTTTTTTCGGGGTTTTGTTTGAAAAGCTTTGAGTTTTGGATATTGTTTATGATTTTGTAATTTGGGTTTTGTTGATTTTGTAATTTGGGTTTTGTTGATTTCGTGTAATTATATTTGAATTTGTGTTTTGTTAGATGAACCGTAATTGGAAATCCTTAATTTGTTATTTGAATATTTGTAATGGGATTAGAAATTGTGTTTTATTAGAGAAACCCTAAATTCAAAGGACGTGATTTAGACCGCTAAAGTTGTTTTTATTAATTGTTGAAATTCCTAGCTGTTTTTTTAATGTGAGTTTTGTTAGTGTTGTGTAATAATATAAAAAATTATCCTAATTTTTGCAATCCTAAGGTTTTATTAACAAGGTTGTGTTAGTTTTCGCTGACTAAGTGGGAGTTCAGGCTTTATTACACAAACCCTAAATTTTTACGTCGTAAATTTTGAATAACATTAAAGGACATAATTATAGATAGCTAAAGTTGGTTATCGTTTCCTAATTGTAGAAATCCATGAAGTTTTGTCTAATATGGGTTTTATCAGTGGTTATGTTTGACGAGTTCTTTTTAGTGTTAAATGTCATAGGTTTTGATAGATAGGTTGTTGTTTGTTGTAATTTAAGTTAGCCCTTTGGTGTTATTGTTTATGTTCTGCTGTTTTGGAATGAACCCTAATTTTGAAAAACCCAAGATTTTTTCCTTGTTTTCTTTAGCTTTTTGTTAGTGTCACATGTGCTAAAAATTTTCAACGTTTTTAAAGGGTTTGGTTTGGGCATAGTTAAGGTTATCGTTCGTATTATGATTAAGTTGGTTGTTTTTGATATTGTTCTAATGACACTTCTGCTAAAACACTAATGTTGACAAAATGGAAACTTTAGTCTTGTTGTAGTTGTTGTAAGTAATTGAGGGACTACTGGTCCTTTTTTCTTTGGCTGGTTTAATTTGGGTTGCAACACGGTTTATGTCTCTGCCATGCTTATATTGGCTCAATTTTACAGGATCCAGGCATTGATATTGTCTCCTACAAGGGAACTGGCTGAGCAGACACAGAGAGTAATAACTGCAATTGGTGAAAACATTAATATACAAGTACATGCATGCATTGGAGGCAAAAGCGTGGGAGAGGATATTCGAAAACTAGAAAATGGAGTTCATGTTGTCTCTGGAACTCCAGGCAGAGTTTGTGACATGATCAAGAGGAGGTCATTACGTACTAGAGCCATCAGAGTACTAGTTCTCGTGAGTAAATCTCAATTTGCCTTGCATTTGTTTGTGAAGTCCTTAAAGGTGTAGAATGGTAATGCTTGCTTTGACGAATTGCATGCTGAATTTTGTTCTATTATTTATTTGCAGGATGAATCTGATGAGATGTTGAGCAGAGGGTTCAAGGATCAAATTTATGATGTGTACAGATATCTTCCACCCGAGCTTCAGGTTGATGCTCTCTCCATCTTTTGTTCAGTATTGATCTCTGTTTGTTTTTATATCAGTTAACCATCACCCCCCTTCAACTGCTATTTTGTCTAGGTATTTTGTTTTGGTTCCCTTTTTCCACTCCTCCAGCTTATCAAAGAAAATGAGGAAAACAATATTATTAAGCTAATTTAGTAGTCAATCATCTATCCTCATTTAACTTAGCTTACATCTTTCTCTTCAGTGATTTGTATGTAAACATTAAATTTTGTATGTCTATATGGGATGGAGCATAGCAATTTCATTGGTGAAATTGCATAGTTCCTAGTTGCTGCAAGCAGCTTTTGTCTTGCTGGTGTCAGTGTAACTTTGTGCTTTGGTTTAATTGTGCATTCTTGCTTAATGGGCAAGCTTATAGCTATGGGTTATGTGCCCTGCTCTAATTTGTGATTATTATTGCAGGTTGTCTTGATTTCTGCTACTCTTCCAAATGAAATTTTGGAGATGACTGGTAAGTTCATGACAGATCCTGTGAAGATTCTTGTGAAACGTGATGAGTTGACTTTGGAGGTAAGCAATTATTTTAGCTGTAGATAGACTTCCAATGGATACAAAACTGGTATTTGATGAGTACTCCTTTTGTTGTGTTTCTGTGGTGATAGGGCATCAAGCAATTTTTTGTTGCCGTGGAAAAAGAAGATTGGAAATTTGAGACTCTGACCGACCTTTATGATACTCTGACCATCACTCAAGCTGTTATTTTCTGCAATACAAAGCGGAAGGTAAAGCTGTTACTGATATAATTTCCTTTTTGATAGTCTTATCTTATGAAGAATTTAACATTCTATGCCAGCATCAACATAAAGCAGTTGGACTGTCCTTTTATTGCACATCATTCTGTGATATATGGATTGTTCTATTATTTGACTGGTGATGTGCATGTTGTTTGTACAGAACTTGTTTGGACCTAACCAGTTGTTGAAGATACGTGAGATGCAAACTTATTTATGGAAACCATAATTTCAATATCAAAGTTAATCAGTACATCCCATGGAGTAGGATGACCAAGGATGTTCTTTGTAGTTCCAATGCCTGTTTTCTTCTTGATGCATGGAAACAGGGATTTGATGTGTGATTGTGTATTAATGCACAGAAATTGAGAGAGTAGCTTTTCAGGCTATTTAAACAAGTAATAAAGGAAAAGTAATCTTAATTTCCTGATGGATGTTTACTGTATTATGGTTTAGCTGTGCCCATCTGTTATTTGTGCCTGCTTTTGGATGATGTTTTCTTGTGGAAAAGTAATCTTAAGAGTTCTCTAACTTTTGGACAGGTTGATTGGCTAACTGCCAAGATGGTCGAATTTAACTTTACCGTCTCATCAATGCATGGGGACATGCCTCAGAGGGAGAGAGATGCAATTATGTCTAATTTCCGTCTGGGTGAAACTCGTGTACTGATCACAACTGATGTTTGGGCTCGTGGGCTTGATGTTCAACAGGCAAGTTTTTTGTCTTCTTCCCTTGTAATTTCTTCATTGGATGCTGTTATTTGACATACATGATGCTTTCCTTTTTGAAATGAAAAGAATTGATGTTAAGATAGGTTTTTCTGCTATAATCATATTATGTTGCCTTATTTGGAGGTTGATGGTCTAACCTGAGTCTGGAAGGACCCAGTCATCCTGTTTCATTCTCTATTGTTACTGTGACACTGTAAAATCTGTTTTCGGACTTGCAGTGACTACTCAAATGACGATATTCATTTTAATAACATCTTAATGTTGTGTAAAGTAGCGAATTCTTACCAAATCTCTTGTTAACTAGTAAATGCAACATCAAGTGAGCTTGCATTTTTTTTCATGGTCTGATTGTATTGGGGTTTTTTTTTTTTCCTTCCTTTCTTTTTGGCCAGACTTGCGGTCTTTTGTAGATTGTTTTGTGTGCTCGAATTCAGGAAGGGCGTACCTCTGCTGTTTGGTCTCATCTTATCTTATTCATGCTGTCTTCATTTATCTCTTCAGGTTTCTTTGGTGATCAACTATGACCTTCCAAACAATCGAGAGCTTTACATTCATCGAATTGGTCGTTCTGGTCGTTTTGGACGCAAGGTATGTACTTGCTTTTTGAGTACTTCTACCAATTATATTTGACACCCATGTAACTTGAACTAAACCCTTCACAAAAAAAAAAAAGGACTTCACTGAATTGGTTTTGTAGATCTACAGTCTTAAACCCTTTGGTTATTTTTGGGATACTGGTCTCTGCTGTTCATATTGCCTCTTGATGGACTATGCTTTGCTAGCTGACTGTTTAGTGTCAACTAAATGTTATTTGATGGTTCGCAGGGTGTTGCCATTAATTTTGTCAAAAGTGATGACATCAGGATTTTAAGAGATATTGAGCAGTATTACAGCACCCAGATTGACGAGATGCCTATGAATATCGGTGATCTGATATAAGACATGCTGTGGTGATCATCATTTGCCTGCGGATTGTGTGATGGTGTTAGTGTTGCGTGGTTGGCATTTGTGTGAAATTGCACGGTCCCATCTCTGTGTTGAGCTTGTACGCTAGTTTGGCATTAAAAAGTTGTGTGACAAGAAAAATGCTAGAGTAGCTTTAACGCCTCTGATAAGATTGTGATTAAGACGTTCTCATATCGAATTTATAACACTAGGTGGATTGTACCATGCTGAATTAAATTTTCTATAGGCAACTCTTATCAACTTTTTTGGTTGCTTGTGTATTTTTCCCAAATATCCCTCAGCCAGTACTCCATTTGTTTACTAAAAATGGAAGAAGCATCAATCTGAAGTAGAGTTATCGTTTGAATGTTGATTCGTTTTGTTCTTGTGCTTGTTTGCCTCAACTATCCATCCCTCCAGTATAAAACAGACTATCTTTTCAAATTCTAACGAGTATTCCGGAATTAAGAACCCTCAAAGGTCTGACTCCTGATGCAATTGCTAATCCATAAGTATGATACGAAGGTTGCTCGTGAATATGACGTGGGCGTTGAAGCTTTGTATGATAAGAGTGTAGTTCTATGATATTCTTTACCAATTAATATTCAATGGTGAGAACTCATTAAATTATTTTAAAATAAAAAATAAAAATGGTAAACTTTGTTTGATTGTTCATAAATTTTGCGAGTATCTGGACAATTTTCTAGCGTAAAATTTTTCTCCATTTGTATTGTATGATAGTTGGCTAGAATCTAGCGTGCTGTGAAAATACGATGACACTATTGTACTGATTTAGCTCTCATGCTAGCTATCATCAGTAGTGGTAGCAGAAAGTCCAACATCAATGATTATTTTATTATTGAATTTTGTACGTATCTGAGATTTTATACCATTTAATTTTTTTTAATTAAGATCTTTCTATGTAATTTAAGAGTTCTACTCTTATATTGTTGTTTCAGTCTTTTTTAATATATTGTTTGTAATATAATATGATTGAGTTGTGTTAACTAAAAAAATCCAACTCAAGCTAGTTGCAGAGGTGATTAATTTCTCAATTGTTTCTCTTAAAAAAAAAAAAACTAATTAAAATAGAAATAGTAAACATTTTATCAACATATTATCAAAAAGGTCCTCAAATTGTAAAAATTTTTCAACGAAGTCTTTCCATTAATTTTTTTGTTTATATTTTCAGTTATTTGTTGCACTGAAACAACACTGCTTTGATGAGGATGTGACTTTTTTCTCATATATATATATATATACACACGTTTCGTATTTGTCTGTTGCATTAAGAAGAATTAATAAATTGATGTTCAGTAGGCATGGCTTCACTCTCAACTCTTGAAGACTTTGTTGAATTCTTTCTGGATGTTGTGAAATAGAGAGAAGACAGATTGGCTCTATATGAGAGGGAGCAACGTGACTTGAAATTGAGTTTTGTTTGGTCCAAAACACTTATTTATTAAGAATTGACACTTGAAATACGAAAAATGATATCTACACTCATCGTACGTTATATATTATAACGAGTACAAGTATAGCTACACTTGTTTTATAGTCTTGATTCCATCCTTCTATTTTATTTTATTTTTATTTTTATTGAGATACATGCTTGTGCTCTTGCATTATTTTTTTCCTTTTTTTTTTTTATCTCAATTGTTTTCTATTTCTAATATCAATAAAATCATCTTTATTATTAATTTTTTTCCCATCATCACAACAAGTACTGAATACCGGTCTCATTTGGCACCTCCCATTCAGTGGTTGCTATTGTTCAATTTCCACTTTAAGAAATCATGATCATCCTCATAAATTAGAATCCATCGTTGTCCTTGGAGCATCTCTACCACCGCGTGCCTTCTGTTAATACATCATTTCCAAAACGTGGCACTCGGTTTATCCACCTTTTGATTTACCGACATCTTGTTTAACATCACCAAACTTTTTACTTTCAGCGTTGAAGCAGCCTGCACAATTCATTATGAATTAGCAAAGAGAGAGAAGTAAAGAGAGGTATGGTAAGGATTTTTATAAAGGATATAGTTGTTAGTTTGTATTTAAAAAAAAGGCGGTAGCGTGGTTTATTATACAAGGGAATGCAGATATCACCTCTCTTGAAATACTTTTTTTTCTCTCTCTTTTCTCATACCAATCAACAATTTAAAATCATCCATTTTAATTACTTTTGTTGCAATGACTACAATAAATTGTAATTTGCAGTTTCTAATACAGACCATACGACCAGTTTAGCTGCAAACCTTGTTGAACGTTAGAAGCTGAAAAGCATTTTCATAGCAATACACGCATGAATATGCATGGTTGATCCTTCATGAAACATAGCTCTGGATTGCATTGGCTACTTTGACATAGCTATGATGAAACAATGAATTTAAAATTCTCAAGTATTATTTTCAAAAACACAGATTATTTGTAAAGAGCACTAAAAGATATTCAAACTTAATCTCCTAACTTAATACGGACACTACATGATATCAAGGTAACTAGCCAAGTCTTGAAATTAAGAAGAAGAAAAACAAAGGTAATAAGCTATTAAACAGCAATAGATGGCAAAATCAGCATGCATCTATCATTCTTCTTCAAGAATCCAATCTCATCTGCAGCGTGTATCCATATCTCTAATGTCTAGCTAGAAGAGTTATACTCAGAAACATATGCAAATAACGCAAGCCTAACCTAGAAGATAATGGCAATTTTCACAAGCAAAAACACAGGTAAGGATTCAAAGCATGAGATCCAAGGTGACTAAGTTACTCTATTGTGATGCAAAGCAGAAGCAATCTAAAAGAATATACCAATTAATCACTCCTCATAACAGTACACCCAGTCCTTTGCATTGCAAACTTACACATAAAAGTGAGTCCACATCTTGATTTCCAGTCTCTTGTGAAGTTAATACCTTAGTAAACTACTATAATCCAACAAACATTTGTTTTATCAACCGCCTGACTCACAAATCTATTTCCCCATCTCAATACGCAAAGGCAAAAGCATACAGAGGGAACAAACTTTCTTATATGCCATGTAATTTCCCTTACAACTGACGGAAAAAAAAAAGAAAAAGAAAAAACCTTACTCATAGGCTCAGACAATTCTTTGTTTGTGCACGTCACTCTTAATTTCCAAGCAAGGCATTTCAAATGTAGCCGCCAGGGTGGTGGTAGTCCTCCTCAGAGTGGATTCCTGGTATTTGGGATCTCGCCTTTTTTGAGGATGGAGAGAGCATATTCAGCAGTGTCAAAAAGGTCTTCAATGTTATGTACTGATGTCTCCTCAGATCCCAGCATAAAGATGGCACGAACTTCAGCTTTCTTAGCCAGTCTTTCTGCTAAATTAAGAGGCAAACTCGGCGAGTTAAGGCTTCGCAATATTTGACGATAAAGAGTTACAACACGTCCTCTATTCCTAGCCAAATCCTCTGCTGTTGCCCATATCAAACCTTTCGCCATATGCCCAGTACTTCACTAATCAACCAAAAAAACAAAGCAATCCCACTTAATTATCGTACTCTACAAAACCAAAACTTTAGACAATAACGCATCTTTAAAAGTAGAAACTTTCAGCTTTGATTTTACTAAATAAATTTTATCTTTGCTCATTTTTGTTTAAAGCAACTTACTTATCATTCTAAATTCCCAATAAACCAGACGCTTAAAAGAAAGGAAAATACGTCAAGCCAGGTATTGAGCGAAAACTGGTAGAGCAAAAAGAGAGCATCCTCCCTCAATGATCATACACTACAAAACCAGAAACAAACTAACTAATAGCATTAAACTAGAATACTTCCATCCTTTTCCATTCTACAGCCAAGAACCCATCTTTACAAAGTAAAATTTAGACCTCAAAAAATCATTGAGCAACATCATCTTTCCTATTTTTGTTTAAAATCAACTCACCCGAACTCCACAATAAAACACTTATAGGAAGGAAAACTAAGCAAGTAAATCAAAAGCCTAAAAACCAAAATTTATCAACAACTATTAGGAACAAAAGAAATGAAAAAACAAAAAATAGTAGCATATCATCAAACACCTTATAAGCAACTGTCACCTAATCTCCATAAAATAAAACATTGAAAAAAAAAAAAAAAACAAGACCCATAATTCTTGAAAGGGGATTAAGAAATGTCAAAAAAAATAAGGGAAAGTACCTTTCTTCTTCTTCTTCTTCTTCTTCTTTTTTTCAAAAAAATAATGGTGGAAAATTTTGGAAATCTAGTGTCGGTGTAGTAAAGTCGAGAGGCAAAACAGGCAAGCCAACGCAAACAACAGGGACTCTATATTAAACGACGTGTATTTTAAGTTCTGATTTGTAGTTATTAATGACATAACCGTTAACTCGCATGACGTGTCAAACTAAAGGAAACTTGACCTGCTCAAATTTGTCGTTTGTGTAATTGGACGACTAGTTGTTCTCAATAATTCAAAAAAAGGCACTAGTTATTTATCATTAGTAAATTATAAATTAGGCTCTCTTGTTTGGTAAAACGAATTAAATATTCTTCTAACTTTAAAAATTTATTAATTAGTCGTTTAATCAGTATTAAATGTGATTTATTTAATATTATTTTATTTTAAAAAATATTTTTTTATCATCCTTTCCATATGTTTTACTTATTTTCCCTCCTTTTCTATTTATTACAAAAAAAAATTAAAAAGAATTAAGTTACAAATAAATTTGAAAATATAGAGATTAATAAATTAGTTATTAATATCATAGAGACTATTTAATTTATTTTGAAAAACTAGAAGGACCAATTTATAATTTACTCTTATTTATCAATATCTACGTTGTTTTTACAGTGAGTAATTTCTCTAGCAAAATGCTAAACCGAAAAAATCTTAAAAAATATTATAAGTCATTGGATCATGATTTTAAAACGAGACCTAATGATGAACGTTATTAATCCATTATTTTATTTTATATTCTTGGAGTTTTTTTGTTCTTCGTTTTGTTTTCCTAATGTTCAACGTTATTTTTTGAATGGATCAATAGAGCTTTTATGAGAAATTTTATTTTATCAAACTCAATAAACGAAATGGTTGGGGCTGTTTTGCCCCATTCTCATACCGATCCGATGGTAACTATTACAGAAATCTTGACTCCTCAAATTCGAAAGGATTTGATGATTTCAGAAAGGAAAGGATTCCAATCCTCTGTTCTAACCCATTTTAAATTTTTAATGCGTGTCCTTTCAACCTGATAACAACGCATGGAAAAATAATAAATTGTGCCCTCAATTATTAAAGCTAAAATTGTCAGGTACACAAGTGTATGGGTGGTTTCTTAAGAAAAATTCATTATAAAAAAACGCAAAATTTACTTGAGGAAAAAAAAAAAGATCATAAACAGTTGGCATTACAAACACGAGTGAGTCAAAATTAGACTATTTAAGAATAAGAATGAGAGAAAAGAAGCATATATATGTATCCGGCAGCACTCATGGAAAAAAAGACAGCCACCCTTGGGATCTCTCTGAGTTTTTCCGAGACATCCTGGATAAGTAGAACACACTCCTAAAACTTGTTGCATCCACATGAATGCAAAGAAGCTTACACACAAGCAAACCATATTTTAAAGACCAAAAAAAAAAAAAAAAACTAACAAATTAAAATTTCCTGAAAAACCATATACACGTTGAGAAGAAACTATGAGACGGATTTACAGAACAGTGTTTATATGAAGTGCTTTAAGCAGTGAAGTAGCCATTTGTTTCACTAACACCTGGCCTCCGGAGCTTAGCCCGTCCCTTCGTTCTTCGATTAAGTTCTGGAGTTTTTGGGGCAAATCATTCTCCACAATCAACTGTTTCGGACGTGGGTGGTGCTCATACACAGCCTAACAAAACAAATTTTGGTGAGCAATTCATAATATGATCAGACAACCAAACAGCTACTGTCAAATGCAGCTTTCAGCACAGAAACCAATAACAGAACGAGATTGATGAAAATGCACAAGCTCTAGCGTCTTCTCTCCAAATATGCTACAATGTGATGTCTTGGACTCTCAGTGATAAAAAAGCACGCTTGCTTGGCTGCTTAATTACAGATAATCAGAATGGACAAAAATAAAAGAAGAATAGGCATAGGAGACAAGCTGGTGGTTTTTTGACATGACAAAAGACTGCTGAACAGACTTGCATTGTTGGTTGTTTTAACTGTGAAGGAGAGACTGCTAAAGAAGGTTAATATTGATGGTTAACAAGATATCCTAAAAGATCAATCCTGAGGGTAAACAGTAATCAATCAGCAGATGAATTACATACATGGAAAAAATAATGGAACAAAAATTCTGGATAGGAAAATTAAATACATCAAAAAGTATTTCTTAAGCAAACTTAATTGAGATAAACAAGGTGTCTAACTAGCAAGAGAAGAGCCATAACAACAGCAAAATCAACAATGCAAGCGACATTGATCTAAATGTTATAGGTATTCCTCAGTACAGTAGTAAAAGGCACAAGGAGACAGTGAGGGGTTCCAAAATATCACCTTTATTAGTTTAAGCAGATTAAGACGAGCTATGGCATCCTGATGATCTAGTCTTGCAATGAGCAGAGGTGTCAAGCCATTAACAGCTAAAGTTGTATTTATCCGGGATGATTTCCTGCATTCAATAAGTACAAAAGAAAAGCTGATAAAATGCTGATAATTTAAGCAGTCTGGATCCCAGAGGCTCTGCACACCTTACTAATTTTTCATTCATAGTTCTTTTTTCACAATTTAATGGATCAATGGATTGACATTTGTGACTTAAACTTAACAGTGCAGCCTAAATTGGTAATGAAGAAATGAATAGAAAGATGAGAAAATTTCATACGTGATAATTTTCAAGAATGGATCCAATATATGCACAAATTGTTGTTCGGGGCAGCATTGGAAGAACTTCACTAATTTCTGAACTGCATCCTTTTTTAGCAATGCTTGTTCCACTTTGCGGTTGTCATTGTCATGAGCCAAACAAACAGCAATAGAATCCAATGCTGTCATTGACCAAACCATATCATCAAGCAGGCTCAAGTATACATCCAATCCCCCATGGGCCCTTAATTGTTCTCTTGAATTACGTGATGCATGAGCCATGTCACATAGTAGAGGTAATGCATGCTGTTTTAAAGGAGAATCCAACATGATAAAATTCATTAAGTGCGGAATGATTCCATTTTCAGCAGCTTGTTCCTGTCTCCTCTTATTTATCTTGCAGAGGTTAAAAAGTGCATTGAGGACCTTCAAATAACAAAATTCAGCAAACGTTGTGAGAACTGGGATGCTCGCAATAATTAAATCCATGAATAAAAAACTTGTGCAACATAAACAAACCAAACCAATTTAGCCATGAAACTTGGATAACAAGTGATGAATATAAGAAACTTTTGATAGAAATTGAAGTACACCTTTTATACATATGCACCTACAAAGTTCCCATATTTAAGATACAGGCAAGAACTTGATATGCAATACTTTTTTGTATCCATAGAATGAAACTTCCATTGCAGTGCAACTGCCATGTACTTTCTTCCTAGATTAAGAGAACTTGCAACATGATACTTTTAGGAAGAGTAGAAAGAAGTTTGCATTGCAGTGCAACTAGTATGTCTTTTTTCCACTACAATCTTTGGAAATGGGCTTTATAACACCCAAAGTCTAGTTGACTATACCTACACAAATGAATGGCAATGTAAGGAACAGGGATTAGAAATTGCAGAAGAGATGATCCAAGAACCTATAGAATGTCTTACCGGTATCCTAGTGAAAGAGCGGATACCATCACAAGGAGAACAATGTACTTCTAAAATGCCAACAAATGCAGCAGTAAAACACAAGTACAAACAAATCTAAAACAGAAGAGCAGCTAATGAAAGGTTCATGGAGTAAATTACAAGATTCTATGTGCCTAGTGGACAAACAATTTATTATATGACAGAAAGACACTCATATTTGCACATGTTACAAATGCAAAATCAAATACAGTAAAAAGGCAGCCTGTAGCATATTCACAAACTACTAACATTATAGGAAGTAAGTTGGGAAGGCCAACCTCGCTATGAATTTGATCTACAAGAGTTCCATCTTTGAGTTCAAGATTTGGAATCAGGTACTTAATTGCGTCTGCATGCTGAAGATTCTCTAAGCAGTTCGGGTCAGTTGACAGGTTATTGATACACTTAAGTAGCTGTAGATCAATAAAGAGCAGCAAGATGAGATAGCAGGTAAGAAAATACTCAAAACAAGTTTAAGCACAAAGCTGGTAGAACACACTCCGATGTACCTTCAAAAGAATTGGAGGCTCAACTCTATTGAACATCTGAAAAAGGCGGCTAAGCATGCTTTGGCTACACATGTAGGATTTTACAGTTGTATCAGCTTGAGAAAACTCAAACAGAAGGTCCGCAACTTTCTCCAGGTATTCCTTTGCAACCTCTGCATTCATTGTTGATACCATCTGGGTAAGTAACCCAGATGATGTTGCACTCCCTGGTCTAGCATTTAGAACACCCGAACCAGACAGTACACCAGATGCTGTTTGAGATACAATACCAGAAGTGGAAGCAGCTCCTTCATTGGGTGCAAGTGGTCCAACCTTCTTACTCACTGTTTTATGTGAAATTCTAGGCATGGAGTCTAGATTTCCATTTTCTCTTCCACGCCCAGATACCTCTGCAACATAAAGAGAGTCCCAAAATATTAATGTTCCTCATTGGAAATTCATATTGTGATGCAAATAACAGCTCCATAATAAACATTGCCAAAAATACTAATTCTTCTGCAAGCCAAATGGAAGAAATTATCACCAAAATCCCTAAGATAGACTTCAAACCTTTTTGTCATATTAATACCAACTGACCATGGAGGAGAAGAGTTGTAGCCATTAAAACTTCACATAACATTAAGTCAATTGGAAATCATGTTGACCAATTCAATTGAAGGACAAAACGAGGGGGGGGGGGTGGGGTGGTGAACACAACCAATTACCTGCAAACTCTGCCATCAGAAAATCTAATTCGCCATTTGTTTTCTTCTCAGATGCATGTAATAAAGGCAGTATACTTTCATGTCTCTCCAACCCTGAGAGGTGACGTGCATACTCCAACTGACCAGAGAAATGCCTAGAAGGGGGTTCCTTATCCAACAAGCTTAGAAGAGGACGAACTTTCTCTGGCTGAGCAGATACTGCAGAAGTAAGACCGTTTGATGCACTTTCTATCAACTTTGGAGGCCTGTCAGTAGATGCCCTTTGCACGGAACCAGTTACTCGTTGCTGCCTAAGTTCAATTTCTGGGCAAGATGGATCACTTTTCCACCTGTCCAAGTTATCTCGCTCTTTCGAAACAGTGCCTGAAGGTTCTTTGGTAGCCATATTTGCAGCTTTTCCTAAAGCTGCTGGATCTGACAACTTGGAAGCAACAGTAGCTTCAATTGCTTCATTGCTAGATTGAGGTCCATCAGTGTCTGTCCCAAGATATCTTGCATCAGGATGAATTGCATCCAACCTTTGGGAGTGTGAAGTTGAAGCACGTGATGGTTCTTGTGTCACAGAAGGCAAGGACTGATCGATCATTCCATGCCTAATTTTAAGGACATCAGGCTGATCAGATGCAGAAAGTGGCGGCTCACTCTGAATGAAAATAGGATGATTGGAATCCAAGGGACCAGATCGTGGTCGTTGAGCTAAAACATCTAGGGGAAATCCAGTTCCCACGGATATTGAAGCTAGCCTAGTTGCCTCATTTCCAGTTCCCACGGATATTGAAGCTAGCCTAGTTGCCTCATTCAAGCTATAAAGAGTGTTGGTAAGTCTGGACAGTATTAGATTTTTTGCAGCTATTCGACAGAAATCATTCCTTGGGGTTGATCTCTGAAGCTTAAGGACTTGCCACATGCCATCGATAGCTAGGTGAACCATGTCCCTGGATGCAAAGAGAGCTGAATCAGTGTATTCACAAGATAATGGGAAAAGTACATGGAGGAAATCGAGTGGGCTAACATGCACACACTAAACATTGGCATGACAAAAACCATGTGCATTTGAAAATTTGTGCAGTCAGTTGTAGAGCTTTGGTACAGGGTCATCCTTGTCTACTTTAAACAGAAACCAGACTTGATTTCAAAGATGCTACATCATTTAGAATGTGATTTCAAGCAGCAAAAATCAAGCTTTTTAGGGAAAATGCTTATTAGAGAACAATCAGTATTTGCATTCCAAGATGAGGTTTGAGACAAGAGGGGGCATGAACAAAAGGTAGCTGATAGATAAATTCTAATGAAATTCACCAGCTCCACACTCGTGACATACAAAATTCATACCGTGCAACCAAACTGCCTATCTTTCTGCATGCAAAAAGGCACCATTTCAAAATTCCAAGCATACTTCTTTTTTTCATCTTAAGGGAAAAAAATACCCTGCCTTGCAAAACATAGTTTTTCGACTCAAACCAGAAAGAAATTACACACCTGTACTTTGCGTAATCAGCCTCTAGAAAACCCACCAGGATAGGTATTCCACCGCAAGCAATGAACATTTGCAATGTCAATGAGCTGCACCAGAAAGCCAACAGTGTTAGTCCTAATCCCGTCAATTGTTTAGCAAATCAAAGCAAGGGAATTATGAAAGAAGGAACTCTCCACCTTGATTGGCATAGCTGCTGAAAGAAATATGCTGCCTCCATGCGAACCTCACGGGGGCAATGAGGTACCGCAAAATTCATGACCTCAGGGATCTGGCACATAACATTGGCCATAAATATGACTGGATGGAAATAATATTCTAGTTCAAGTATTTCAGGAATAAGGATTGGTTGGTGGGGTAAGAAACACATGCAGAAACGTGAAAACATAGTGCAAGCCCCAGTTAAGGATGGAATAAGCCGATCCGTTTACAGGCAATACTGAATGCTTAACTGTAGTAACTCGAAACTAGAGAAAAATTACTTCCAACAAGAGAACACAATCTTGGAGGTACACATCACTTACCAGGCCAACAAGGCAAGCATTTTCCTGGAAATCGATATTATCTTTCACAATCTGATTTATAAGTTGAAGGACAGAACATATAACCTGAAGTATTGGTAAACAATTATCTCCTCATATTAGAAGCTGCAAAGCTCATAGCAAGTGGCAACAACAAAATACAAAGCATAGCTAGCAGGCATACACGAGTTTTAGGAACTTTGAGTAATTCCGTTAGAGGAAGCAAACCATGCTGGGTAATAAAAACAATTTTCTGCTCAGGGCGCTGGTGAAAGATGCTAATAAGTTTCTGGCATGCAGACGCAATCACATCTTCTGATTCCTCAGGTCTTAAAGACCCAACTAACCTGCTAAACTCAACAGCCTACCAAGCAAAAACAATATACATTACAACCAGTCCAGAGTAAAGGGGGGAAAAAAAGCAATGGCAACATGCTAAGAATTGATATTTACAGCATTCTTATTGTTTAATAATCTGCTGTGATTAGACAACAGGAATTGATTAGCAAATTTATGTAAGGACTAATTAAAGAAAGATTCAAGAGTTTCCGACGCACAATAGCATGGTATTTGTCATTTTGCTACACATTGTCACAAAATCACAAGAATAGCCAAACCATTGCATGTAAAGAGGAATTTTAAAGATTGAAGCCAGTTTATTAATCATCAGATTACAAGTTTGTATAACAGAATCATTTCTTCCTCATTTGGAAAACAAAATACGATCAGATTCTCAAATTATAAAAAAAGGAACGGTAAGGAACAGCAACCATAAAGGACAACCATTTTTAAGGTAATTACATAATATGAACAGCTACAATAGATTAGTGCAGCCACATATTTCAAAACACGTCTTTAACAGGCATCACTCAATCCAAAAAAATAAAAAGAGGTTGCTAATATGCTTATGTCTTTTGTTCATCAATACAAAAACTTCAAACGCGTCTGGATGGCAATGTTATTGCAGTCTGAATCAAGGAATTGCTTAAGGTGCTAAAACATTTGATTGACTACCTGTAGAGGAAAGAGATTTTCTGGAGGCAATTTTTCATCAAAAGCCTGCCAAGAAAAGCATATGTTGTCAGGAATTATCAAATTGATTAACTAAATAACAAACAAATAGAGCACTTACAACATACCAAACCATCAATATCAATCACGCCATCCTTCAAAACACCCATCATTAGGCGAAACAAATCACCACCACCATTTGTCTGCCCCATTTCATTCTCCATTTGTTTTTGAGCAATAGTAGCTCTCAACCTTGTAGCCAGGTCATTCTTTCCTGCATCAGCCACAACTGCATTCCCTTGGTTCATATGTGATGTTGAGGTAGATGTTGAGGCTTCAGCTGCCCGATCCTCTTGGTTTTTATCAATTGGATGAAATAAATCATCCAGTGAAGCATCTCTTGGAGTGTCACTAAATTTACTAAGCTCATTTCCTCCCAAGGTCAGTGATATCTTCACAGCCTTCAAAGTCCCAGATATACAGAAGCGTAAGATAATACAATTTTCGAATCTAAGCAGGGAAAGAAGAAAGAAATTGAGATGAGTGAGGAGGAAAGCAAGTTGTAGGTTATGTCAGTGCTCAAGCTCCCTTGGAAACCCGAACTCAAACTGAGGACAAGACACAATATTTTAACACCAGATAGAAAACAAATGGGACATCAGAAAACCATATGTTCAAATATATCTGACTACATCTAAAATATCGCGTGGCACATATGATAACTATAAGATATGCATTCCCACATGGCAGCACAGGGAATTAATAAAAGCACTATGAGCCCACACTAAGAACAAAATAAAGAATAGACAAGCTATGCACACAAGGTAGAAGAAGATGAAGAATCGACAAGCTATGCACATAAGGATGAAGAAGAAGAAGAATAGATGAGCTATGCATGTAAGGTATACACGATATTGAAAAAGGAATTATCAGACATTTACAGTTGCAGTGACAATACAAAGTGCCCGTCTGATATTGCGTTTTTGGTGCTTTTGGGTTGGAAAAAGACATCAAATTGTTTTTTTTTTTTTTTTTGATCTTTTGAAATGAAGATGTCAATCATTGATAAGCACCTAAAAAAGCATCAATGTTACATTTACAGACGAAAAGCACTGTCAACCAAATCACCAAACACAAAATATGATTAAGTAGAAGCAGATGTTACACAGCCCGCAACATAAGATTTGTAACTAGAAGGAAGGGTCAGTGGGCATAAAAGAACCAAACATCATGAAAATCCAAAAGGTAGAGATAACTTAAAGGTTGAAAGCTAAATTTAATCAACCACATTTTTTTTAAACTAAGTGGTGATGTCAGGAATGGGCAATCAAAAAATCAGTTTTGGCCAGGTCCATAAGGCGTGAATTGCACTTAGTTCACAGTTCCTCTCAATCACTGCAGGCACAGCTAGTTGCTCCACCAAAAGTCCTCACCTTAGTTTTACTTCAAGCATCGAAAGCAGAACCAGCTGAAATCCTCAAAAGCTCATAGCAATATAGAACTGCTCAAGGAACCTACATCCCTAGATCTAGGCATATTGAGTATCTTTTTGTTAACATGTTGCCCAAGTTTCATGTTCTTTCAAGTTTATATTCATGTTCTATTTCTCTCTTTCTTCACAAAAATAAAGGGTCTACTTAGACAAGGTCAGACTGTAAACAAGATACAAAAAGTCCTCACCCTAACTTTACTTCAAGTGACGAAAGCAGAACCAGCTGAAATCTTCAAAAGTTCATAGCAATATAGAACTGCCCAAGGAACCTACATCCCTAGATCTAGGCATATCAAGTATATTTAGTTAACACGTTGCCCAAGTTTGACGTTCTTTCCAATTTATATTCATGTTCTCTCTCTTTCTTCAAAAAAAGAAATTGTCTACTTAAAAGAGGTCGGACTCTGAACACAATATCTGCCAAGCCAAACATAGAAGATTAAGATCATACTAGAAGACCAAACCCTGCATGATAGGTACCAACACTGCATCTATCTCATTCTCTATGTTGCGTGTCATTTTAATCATGTCAATCTGATCACTATGAAACGGCACAGGGTGCACAATAAACCATCTTAGCATTTGAAGAGAGAGAGAGAGAGAGAGAGAGAGAGATCATAAATGAACAAATGTGCCCAACATCATAGCCAGCAACAGAAATTAGTTACCTTTTGAAGCCCATTATCTTGACTTCTTGTTGCAAAACCAAATGATCCATTCTCGACATGAGCAGAACTTGCTTTTCCTCCATTCCTTCTATCTATATTTTTCCCTCTTGCATCAGAAGATTCCATGTCACCATTAGTCAGAACCTGAACCTTGTCATGCATAGATGTTGCACCCTGAAACGGAGCACAGGCAGCAGCTTCTCTATTCATAGATAGTCTGCCAGAACTAGTTCTGAGAGATGACATTTCGTGAATGGCTAGGGTTGGGACTTGATCTGAATGGTAGTCATCGTCTAATTTATCATTTCTTTCCTCCATTACATCACCATTTGAAGAATTATCCTTATCAGACTTACTGAAATCATCAGACTCTGTCAATAATTCTTTCCTAGAAACCTGAAAACCAGAAATATTTGAATCAGGATGCAGAGTCAATAGAGTTTAATTGCTTCACCATGGAAAAAATGAGGTGTGAATCACTTTCCAAGCAAAATCGTTTTCTTTCTCTGCCAAGGATATCAAGAAAAGTTCCCAAGTTAACAAATTATCACAATATTAAAGATAACATGATTCTCACAGCTTCAAAATCAGCAACAGATGCTTCAGTTTTATCCACAGAACTGATTCGACCAGTGCTCTGATTATCTCCATTTAAAATTTCTGCATCTACTGAAACATCTTCCTGTATGCTTCTGGATAAAAATAAAAAAATAAAAAAAAGGCCTTGCAGTAAGATACCAGATTGACACTTTGGAAAGAAGTCATCTAATTGCAACAAAGAAAAACAGTTCCATTTATGGTGACATGACTAATGCTTAAATATGAAAGCATAAAATACTGGATGCCACTTCCAAAAATCACAGCAGAGCAGTTGGATAGAGTGAACTAGTGGTTTATTCCAATGCTCAAATTGAATATTTGAGGGCACATATGCTCTTACAAGCAAAACTTTAGGCTTGCGGTTTAAGGCCAATCAATACAAACTACCTTGGTTAAGAAAGTCATAAGCAGAACAATAAAACTAGCAAACACAAGAAATATTTATGAACCCTAAACAGATTGACATTAAGAAAATATAATACAACCTTATTGATCCACTATGACGGAAAGAGTTCAAAGCACGCCTAGAATTCAGAATCCAAGGATGAGAAAGTAGTGCCTTTGCATCGGGCCGCTGTGTAGCATCCTGAAATATGCAACCAAATATCTCATTTCATTAATAAATGAATAGAATCTAAAAATGAATGATGCATGACAACAAATTTAGGGTCCACCAATTGAATGTTAATTACTAAGCTAAATATATACAATGATAAGGCAAAACTGAATCAGGTCTGAAACTAAAATTAGGCAACCCAGAGTTGATTGGGATGAACTCAAAGGGGAATACAAGACATTGCTATACCGTCTTTCCAGCCATTGTAATTCTTTCTAGGGATACCTTTCTAACACAGTCAGTATATGATCTACCCTAAGAAGATTGGAAAGGAAATTAACCTATAGAAGGGAAGAAGTAATTCCATCCCTTTCTAATTCTGGTCTAGGTCGATGGGCCCAAATTGATGAGGCTGAGAGAGTTCTTTCACAGCTTAAAAATTGGAAAGTAAGCAAAAAGTAGTCACCAATATATGAAATTAAGCAGCTAGGAATTAGGCAACAGAAGGGCTGGAAACTGATCAAGATATATGAATCGATGTGTGCAGTCTACCTTCTTGAAGCACTGGCGCAGAAAGTCTGTAATGTCAGGAGATAAGCTATCAGGTATCGGAGGATTATCATCCTGAGAGAGAAAGAGAGCTCTGTCATCACCGCAGCAGTCAATCCTCAAATCAGTTTTCAAATAAATTCAGTTAGCCCGAAAAAAATTAATAAAAGCACTTGTAACATCAAACGAGGCTATTGCATTCCAAGATAATAAGAATCCCAAGTAAAATATAAACAAGAAACATGAGATGGCATCAACAATGGAGAAGAAAAGATGAAAAATGGCAAAGTGAACCCCAAAGGTTAACAGGAAACATTGCTCGTTTTAATAAACTAAGATGACAATAAAAAAAATAAAAACAAAAAACAGCTGATCAAACCTGAACAATACGAAAGAGAGCTGGCATTGGCTGCAAATCATAGTAAGGTGGTACACATGTAAGAAGCTCAATCACGGTGCAGCCAACACTCCAGATATCAGAAGCAGCACAAACCCCTGACATTTCAATAACCTGACAAATAAACCAAGTTTCACATGATCAAGGCCTGTAAACACCTAAATAGCTATATCATACATAGCATCCTTTCCAACCATGATGTTGAGCATAATAGATTAGAACAAATAGGAAAAACATATAGCTAATGAAAACAGGCAAGAGATGATTACCTCTGGGGCCATCCAATATGGCGTTCCAACAACTGAATGTGTATTAATATCAGCTTCAGTTAATTTTGTTGCAACACCAAAATCAGCAAGTTTCACAAGGCCCTGAAGGTATAAATAAGGTCAAGTAACTGCTTCAAAGACACTGCAGTAAAAGATGTACATGAAATACAGAACATAATATGAAAAAAGAAGAGGCAGATCTTCAAAAAAAACACGAGAGGTAAAAGAGTACAGTGATGTCACAGGACATCCATTTACATACAACATAATCACATACCTGAGCTCTTTTCATTATTTTTAAAAGTGGTCTAAGAATACAAATAAAACCTTTTGTCAAATAGAAAAGGATTGTCTTAAATTAGCCATAAACAGTCACATCACATGTTAATTTCCCTAAATGAAAAGTGTGCACCATCCCTCGTTTTAACATTATATAGCAATATACACTGCAACTCTGAATTTACAAAAGTGCACTATTTGAGAGAAAAAAATATGAAATCATACAATTTTGGATTGAGCTCCCTAGTGCATTTGAAATCAAAGAAATTATAAAGTCATCACATCTAAATGAAGCATCACTGAAACACCACAAAGAGTGCATTACCTCTTTGGTCGTCAATATGTTTGCACCCTTGATATCTCGATGGATAACCCCCTGTTCGTGCAAATAAACTAATCCTTCCAGAACCTGAAGTCAAAATAGTTCATAAGCATAAATTAAAACGGATTAACTCATAGAAGAAGCAATTAACTGGAAGAGACAATCAAAAACCTGGGCAATGTAAACAGCCACCAAAGACTCTGGAAAAGGCCCAAATTTATTTGGCCTGATAATGTTTGCAAGTGAGCCATTCTCCACATACCTGCATCAACAACATTAGAAAATTGAAACATACAAATTTGAAGCAGAGTTATCGTGGAACCTCATTTATCAATTAGCAAAAAACGTATGAGCTCACTTACTCAAGGATTATGTGAAGATGAGTCTTCGTCTTCAATGATCCAAGATACTTCACAATGTTTTTATGGTTCAAATTCTGCAGTGGAAGTAATATGTTCAAAATAGCAGGAGCACATGCTGAGAATATGCATCCTCTAGAGGGAACTCATCATGTCTAATTTTAGAAGAATGAAATCGCAAACGGCCTCCAATGCTAGAATATGAATTATGATATAATGGCCATTAGACAGCTATGGTCCTACCCAAGAAGTTCCTTTGGTTTGCCACTTGGTTGAAGGAGGTATAAAAGACAATCCTGTTCATCCTACTGTACACTTGAGACTCAAATCCCCAACATAACTTCCAATAGATGATGAAGGGAGAAAGATTATTATGAAAGATAGCCATAATCACTGATACCATAATAGTTTCAGTAAAATACAAAGTGGCCCTTATTAATAGGTCAACCCAAAGCCTTAATATGCACAAAATATGCTGTCTTAAATGAGATACAAACTCGGCAAAGGAAAAGTTCAAGTGTAGCAAAAAAGAATGTTCAATCAGAAAGCAAACATGGCAATAAAGAATAAATGCTACCTTCAGTAAGTCTATCTCTTGCTGAATCATCAATCCATTCCACCGAAGAAATTGTACCAAATAGGAAAGAAGCAACTGTTAGCCAAACTTACGCAGTAGAGACAGAATAAATATAGCATATTAAAACCAGATGAAACATTAAAACTACAATTCTTATATTTTTGCACACATCACCCACATAAACGATGAAATTTAGGCTCAAAACTAAAAAGTTGTGACATCAATGTCTACCAAACCTAATTAAGGACGAATTGTAGCAGGCAATGTTAGGTACTAAAGTGCTTGTTATCATTTACCAAGGATAATGAGTAGATTGTGATAAGAATTTTAACAGACATAAGTGCTAAAAAGGAAGTTCCACTTGAAGATTTGAATAGATACAGAAAGACGATAACTGTACCCACTACAAAACCATTTCTGCTCTTTTCAAAGCAAGAATCTGGCCTTCTATGATATGTCTACAGTCAATGCTTCAACAGCTTAATTCAACTTTGTCAACCCCTAAACAGCCCACTAAAAATGAAATTGGCTTTTTTCCAAAGCAAGCAACAATAAACGTTCTAGCCTTCCAGGCCAAACGAACTTAAAAAATAACAAGAAAATTCTCTATAATAGTTCCCTTCATCATATTTAATTGGCTAGCAACATTTCAAGATTAAAAGAGTTGTGCGCCCACATGCACACACTTATATCTTTAAGAGAAAACTAGAAACAAACCATGATAATATTAAGATCCTCCTGGGCGATATTCTCCAACGAAACTTGTTTAATCGCAACAAAATCTCCATTCTCCAAATCCAAGCCTTTGTACACTCGACCATATGCTCCTTTTCCAATCTCATCTCCAAGCATCTGAAAAAAATACACCATAAGCGTTTAAAATCTCGCATTTCCTCTTGAATCAATATTGACTAAAGCCAATTAGTTAAGAAGCAATCAGGAAACAAAATTAATCAAAATTAAAATTAAATAAAACTAAAACAACAAAAAAAAAAAAACAAATTCGAAATTGAAGTCTCGTTGTTCAATTAAATTCAAATTTAATTTCCTCATCAACTTAATTTCAAGTCCCAAACTGAAATTCACCCAAAAAAAAAAAAACTAAAATCGAGAAACTCTCTTTTCAACCTCCATTATCTCAGCAACCAAACAGAACACAGGAAATTAAAGCCATAACATACATAAAAAAGGAATAAACAGCGAGGATTGTAAGAGAAATGGACTACTCACATATTTGTTATCGAGAGTCTTCGATTTATGAAAATGAGACGATGTCGTTTGCCGAGACATCTCTTCTTGTCAATAATGAGACACACTGTTGTTTAAGAAAGCCTAGAGGATCTCCATTTGTGGAATTCAGAAACAAAATTACCGTTTTCTCCAGCCGGATTCCGGTAACCGAAACCTCATCTCCGTTGACATCCAAAGAGCGAGGGAGAAACTATGAGCGTGTTATTGTGAGTGTCTGCGTTTTTAATGATGGAATTGGCCTTAGAACAGCGAAGTGGTAGAATAAACTGTATTTAGAACCTATAAACTTAGCAATGTTTTACGTTAGCCCCTGTAGTTTAGATGTTTTCAATATAAGCCCTGTAGCATAGGCTAGACCTAGCATGGGGTCGGTTTGGGTTAGGTCATTTTAGATTTATATTGAATTCAGATTCGGGTTACTATATGCTTGATGCAAACCCATTAGGTTTGGGTGGGTTCGTATCAACACATGGATTTGCCCCCTTTTTTTTTTTTTCTTGAAGAATAAATAATTTGACTATTATTATAAATAAACACATACACACATATATGAATTAAGAGCATCACTACATAAAATCATGATAATTATAAGCATGTATACTTTTATATTCAAATGACTTCTTTATTTCAAAAAAAAAAATAATAACGTGATTCTCATAAAAAAAAAAATACAATAATTAGTCTTCATTGAACTTTCTCATATGTAGCAAATACATTACATATGTATTGTTATTTTTGTACAAAAATTATCTTATAAGAAAAGATGGAATAAGAATTTGGTATAGTTTTATTTTATTTTTTGTTGATAATCTAAAAATAAATATTATTAAAACAAACACAAAGTAATAATACCATTTTATTTTTATTTAAGTCAAAGAACAATTATATTGTAACCCCTGTGAAATTTTTACACATGTTAAAATGTTTCTAAACATGTTTATATGGAGTATAAGTAATAGTGTGGATGGGTTCAAAAGAGTTTTTTTTTATGACGGTATGTTCGACGATTACGTCGGAAATAACGAAAGGAAACATTTCGGATAATTTAGGTAATTATCCTTTGGGATATTTCTAAGTGTTTGGAATGCATGATAATGATAAAAAAAAATTTATTTTATAATTTTAGGAACATTGGGATTTTATTTGGAAAAATTTCTGAATTAATTAAAAGAAATTTTTCGAAATGTAGAGCTAGATTACGTATGATGTTTACATAATTTATTTGAGGACCTTAGAGTGACCTCTGGATAAAATTCAAAGAATAAAAGTTATTCCTCTATATGTTGACTAGCTCTTTATAAAATTTCATAATTTTTGGACCTATACATTCAGACTTATGTCCATTATGGTGAGAGTTGTTTTGAAATGTACTCTGCTAGAATTTCGGAAAAAGAATTCCGAAAATCCCAAAATAGAAATTTCATAATTATATATATAAAAACCAATTTGAAATGAGTTAGCTGGGACCAAGTTAGACACCTAGACTCACTTATTAATTACACTTGATGACTCCTCGTTTCTTTTAAGCTAAACAAGCCACATACCCTCCCTAATCACCATTTACTTTCCACTTCGATTCATTATTTTAAGACACTTGTACCATGAAATAATTGAAATGAAAGCTAGTATATAAGCTGTAAAAGCTTGATATATGGCTGATTTTGGGAGTGAAAACCGTTGATTACCACAAAAAGGGGGAGAAACTAATTATGAGGGAGTGAAACACGGCAAAAGAGAGGAAAGAAAGGAAAGAAAAAGAGAAAGGGAAAAAGGGAAGGAAAATAGCTAAGGAAATTCTAATCAAACCTAAACTAAGTAAGTAGGTTCCATTTTTTGGTTGATTAATGTCTTAAATTATTTTTTTAAGTTATTTTGTTAGTGTTTATTTCATGGGTTTGTAATAATTTTCAATGGTTATATGCTTGATGTTTGAGATGAATCTATGTATGGATGCCTTTTTGTGATGATTTATAATGTTTATGATGTTTTGAAAAATATCCAAGTATGTGGTGATGAGTTGGATTGGACTTGGACTAAATTTAAGTGAACTAAAACATGTTTTAAGTTGGCTTGGAATGAACTAATAAATTAGTGTTGATGAGGAGTAAATTCTGTCCGAATTTTGGAGTGCATGTTCAAGGATTTTAGGTCGATTTTTGGGCAAAACTTGAATAATAAAAGTTGTTCATCTATGTTTCAACTAACTTCCTTTAATATTTCTTAGTCGTTGGATTCGTGTACAAATAGTTATACCCGATTTAGTACGGACTGACTCTAGACAAACTACTACTAGGCGGATTGCTCCCTAAGTTTCAAAATTTGTAATTAATTGTGTACTTGGTATTTATACCTAATTTTTGGATATGTTATAAATCAATATGTCTAGTATCTACAATAAAATGGATAAGATTTAATTATGTTCTAAAATTAAAAAATTATTTACTCGATTAGGAGTTGCACGGTAGTAAACCCTAAAACCCAATAATTAGACTTGGACAAAATTAATGGGTGTAGATAAAATAAAATGAAATTGGATAAAGTCAATGGACTTCGGATTAAGTTAAGAAACTTGAATAAAGTTAATGGGCCTGGAATAAATTAAATGGACTTGGACTAAAATCAAAAGGCTTGGTTTTAAAGTTAATGGGCTTGAATTAAAGTAAATGGACTTGGACTAAAATCAAATACGCTTGGTTTTAGAGTAAATGGGCTCGGACTAAAAGAAATAGGTTGGGACTAAAATAAGTGAACTTAGATAGAAATAAAAGGAATTTGGAAATTCTAAAGAAAATTTATTCCTTTAAGGAGGAAATAAGGAAAAAGATTTGGACCTTCTTTTAAATATTAATGAAACTAATGAACAATATCAATGAGCGGAGGTTGTGTTTTCGCTATGAGTATCATGATTGATATGTGAGCAACGGGTGAATTTCGAGTGTGGGTTGGACCGTGAATATGGCATGAGAAAAAAGAGGTTGGTACCCGAAATTGGTTGAATGTGATTAAACATGTTATCACATGCATCACGTGCATTCGGGGGTGATATGAAATTGGAAAAGATAATTGAGTTATGAAACAATGCGGTTTGGTAACCGATTTCAATAGAATAAGTAATAGCATAAATTTATGTGCGTGCTCTATTACTAACACTCGTTAAGTGAGGGATAATTTCACTAACGGTGTGCTACAACGAGGGGTAATTCCGTTGTGAGCGATAGGTGATAATGAGATCACCGAGAGAGAGTAATAGAGCGAGTAGGTGAAAATGCGATCACCGAGAGATAGAACGCACGAACTTACTAATACCTAGGGTACCCGAATTAAAAATGAATGGGTAGAATGGAAAACAAAAACTTTATTGCATATCACGTGCATCACTCTACTTACTAAGCTTCGGCTCACCTCGTTGTTATTTTTATGTCGTGACGGGAAAATGACAAGTTGGTACGGATGCGGTGGCTCCTCCTAATCGGCTCATGGAGGCACCATATATTAGTTTTTATTTTATCTATAAATTTGGGGCATGGAGTTCGTGAGAAATTGAATATTGCATGTAATATTTTATTAATGTATTTAATTATGTTATGTAAAGTTTATCTTAAACGAGTTATATACGTAATGTCTTGTTAAAGTTTTAAGAATATCATAAGAGAACTACTTAGAGTTTAAGGTATGTCGGCATAACGCACTTCATCCGAGTACCTTACTTGGTTAGTAGAAATATGATTAGGGCGGGGGCGTTATATATATATATATATATATATTAGTCAAAATAATAAAATTTTGGTTTAATCGATACATTTATCCTATATATTGAACATATTGTCTCACATGCCTTTTTTAAAATTTTTTATTTTCATTTTTATGTATTCTTTTTTTTTTTTCATGCGTTCTTTTGGATGAAAATGTCCTATAACCACTAAAAGAAAAAAAATATTTTTTTAAAAAAATTAACTTTAAAATTTTAAAATATATGAAAATTCCTAGAAAACCCACAAAACTTAAAAAAAGAAAAAGGAAAAAAAAGCTAGCAAAAAAGAGAGAGAAAATATTTGAAGAACATAAAAGAAAAAAGTAGTTAAAAAAAATCATGTCCATAAAACCTAATTAATAGAAATATTCCTATGCAACAAAATAAATTTGTTGGATATGGATTTTTTAAAATTTTAAATCATCAATTTTTTTTATATATATATTTTTATGGATTATTAAATTTTCTTGATATGTTTCAACTTTTAACATTTCTGGATTTTTCAATTTTTTTCTATTTTCTAGGTTCTTCGAGTTTTGTTATGTTTTGGAATTTTTTTTAAAAAAATAATTTTCTTTCTGTGATTTAAGTGGTATTTTTGTCTAAAAATAGCAAAAAAAAAAAAGTGTACAAGAGAAAATGTCAATATGTAAGGGTATATAAAAATGAAAATTTCTTAAAAAGATATATAAGAGAATACTCCCCATATATAAAGGTAGATGAATAGTAATTTTATTTTTTTATAAAAAAATATTATTTATTCATCACCTTCATCCCTACTCTGTCTTAAAAGAACAAAAATATTTTAATTTTTCATTTTCGATCCAATTCTTTATTTTCATTCTCTTTCGTTTCCTTCAACTGAATTTTGAAAAGGAAAATGACAATTTCATTCTTATTCTCGTGATTTCAATTTTTATGATCAAGTGGCCTCTAATATAGTTAGAACATACTGGAACCTTTACAAAACAGAAAGGGTAATATTGCAAAACAATAAATTACAAGCACTTGTATGGTAAGTTGTTAAAGTAGGGGAGCTAAGTTACAATTTATCCACATTAATGATTTTGACGGATTATGAGGCGAGGGAGGTTTTAAAAGCGGAGTCCAGCTAAGACTATGATGGAGTAAGTTGTGAGGGCTGGTTGGTCAATTAAGTCAAAAATGGGAATTTTGGAATGTGTTTGGCCTTTTGGGATTGAGTTGGATGGTGACGTTACCAGAGTAGGAAAGGTTTTTTTTTTCTTTTTTGAAAAATAATAAATGAGAAGGAAAATTAATTAAAGAT